ATATATTTCTTGTGATCTTTTTTGCTCAACTGTGAACTGACAAGTCGCGATAGATTCTTGATTCACGCGAAATGTCCGACGCTATTGTTATTGTCTTCCACGTATAGCAGATTCACATGCTTATCTCATTTCTGCTCCGAAAAACGTATCGGGACAATGTTGTTCTCTTTCTCGATGTTGTACACGTTGATCGAGATATTGTTTGCGAGTTCAAATTTTTTAATTTTATTTTATTTACAGTTACTGGAAACTCAATGTTCCGGAGATTCAGCACTGTCGCGTAAAGTGGGTACGATGATTCCCGTTCCACCTTTCTTTCTGCGGGATATAGAGCGGCGACTACTGCCCACGCGAAACATGCATTGTCTTTAGACTGTATGTTAATCACCGCTCTCGTCGTCGCAATCTCTCGCGGCAATTTAATATAACATTCTGCACGCATTAGATTATATTTATTAATATTCACAGTCAAATTCTGTATTCGCGACAATGCCCAGCCCACTATCGCGTTCCTGAAATTCGTCCAGCGATGCTATAATGGGCTCGATAACGCGGCGCTTATACCACTCGCGTAAATCTTATGTGCGAAAGAGTTCACAGTTTCTCGTATTTATACTTTTATTTCTACGCTTATCACCCGACACAAATTCACCATTAAACACTGTATTTACTTTTACACTGTTGTGTCTTTTTATAACGTCTTGGATATGCTCGAGCACAATGTCTTCGGCATCCTCCAGAAATTGACGAAGTTCGATATGGTTTGCATTAATCACAGCACCGGTCAGAATACGACTATCGAACGCGGTATCGATCTCTCGCCAAACGAGTCTTTCCGCGTTATTATCATCGCTGTAATCACCACCACTGGGAATAAATTGTCTCTGCAATCGAGTTTTTGCACCTTCGAGTCGCGCGATTTTAGCCATCAGAAATTGTCTATTTCCGATCGAGAGTCACGGACGCTTAACACGACTGCGTTCTTCGAGCTCTTTGATCAATTCCTCGCAACGTTGCAGCCATGCAAAATATTCGCCCAAGGTGGCAATTTGGCGAGATCGTTCCACCAGATCGCGTTCAGTCTGCTCGATGTTTTCCATTTCGTCCTGTCTTTTTTTACACTATGTCACAGTTTTCTACGGAGCACTTGCACGTGACTTTTGCATACACACGATAAACAATACCGTTCGCTATCTTGAACGTGAAATCGCGCATAAATCTTTCTAACAGGACACCACTATACTCTTCTACAACCGGCGTGTCGATGCGCTCAAATCACAGTGACTTGCGCTTCAATCATCCCTGTATTTTGTCTAAACCTTTTTATCTTTGTGTAAAATAAATAAGTATGGTGTATCGTAATAATCATTTTTTATTTACATCTCAGAAAAAATTCGTTTTCTCTCACACGCGTGGCAAGAGCACAAAGCAGCCGAACATCGGCGCTGATACGTTGCAATTCTTCCAAGAAAAAATATGGAAAATAATTTTGGGTCGGCCCTAATATCCAATCCTCTTCAAATATCGTTGTTTACCAGCCGGACATCGACTTATGTAATATTGTACTTTTATTTTATTTTATACTTGTGTGATAAAAAACATCCAACACGTTCCCAAGCGTCCCCCACGCCTCCGTACTATGATTTGATATATTTCAATCCTCCTCCTCCTCTTTATATATATTTCGTCCAATCCTTTCTCATCTTTTGAATGTGGGAAACGAAGGTACAACGCAGAAAGAGCATGAACATCGATAGAAAAAAGAAAGAAAAAAGAAAAGAAAAAAGAAAAAAGAAAAAAAAAGGTTGGGCCCTAAGATGCAATCTTCTTCCAAGGAATACCGCTATATATTGTTAAAAATATATAAAACGAAGAGGAGTCTGCTGCACTAGAGTATCATTTGCTATTATTGCTTTTCTGTGATTCGGTAATCTTGTGCAATGGCTGAAGAAAACGTAATTTTCATCGATGATGATTACGATATGGATCCAGTTGTGGTTGAGAGGCTGGAGATAGAGAGAGAGGAGAGAGAGATGGATATTGGTGATCTCCATGAATTATCAGACGAGAATGGGTCTGATATAGAAATAGAACCCTTGACAGACAGTGACTACGATAGTGACGATAGTGACGATGGTGATACATTATTGCAAAAGAAACAACGACATTTAGACTTACCCGAAATATTAACATTAAATGAAGAAATAAAAATATGTTGTATATCATGCTATTATGAGGAAAATGGATCGAAATATTGCGTCGAATGCTTTCTCCGACTATCGTTTCTATTTGTACAAGCTACTTCTGTTCGGGTACATCAATGTATATATTATCAACATTTGACCGATATGTCCTGCAAAGAGTGTGGGAAATCTTTACATCAAATAATGCCGTGCGACATGTGCTCTCTTTGCAAACATTAAAATAGAGGGGTCATGGATAACATTGTATCTTTTAATTTATTATATATCAAAAGTATCTTAAAATAAATTATTAAATAATTTAAACTAATGAAATGTATGTTTTCTTTTGTTTCAGGAGCGGTCCCCTCTATCCCCCTGCGACCTTCATATTGAATATTTTTATATATATTATATTGGATATTTTTATATATTTTTATATTGGATACTTTTTTATAACTCGCATATTTAAATAAATTATACTATATATTTTTAATATTTGTAATAAAAAATGCAATTATTTACACGGCTTTCCCTTGCGCTCCAATCCTTCGTGCGCTCTCCCATTAATTTTAAGTCTCGTTATTATAAGTATAGTTCTCTCTCTCTCTCTCGTATGCGTTCTTTTCGCACTATCATCGTTCTCTCTCACACGCGCGGCAAGGGCACACAGCAGTCGAACATCGATGCTGTTTAATTTTTTCTTAAAATAAAATAAAATAATAAAAAAAAGGGAAAATGATTTTGGTTAGGCCCAAAATCCTCTTCAAAAGAATACCGCTCTTTTTTTGTTTATGCTTGTCATAAAACATCCAACACCTGCGTCCCCCACCCCGCAACCCCCGCACCATCGAAATCCCGCGTGACGTCATACCCCCCTTCCACCGAGAGCCCCTCGCACCTCACCTCCCTGAGAGGACCAGGGTTAGAACCGGCCCTATATCACTACTATAAAAATTAAAATTGATAATCCAAATTAACAAACCAATAATAAGGTTATATACATCAAAATAATTACAGACAGTATACTACTTTAAATTAAAATTATTAAATAAATTACTATACATGTATATATATAGTCAATAATAAATGAATAAAAAATTTTATACCTAATTCTTTGTCACATAAAGAATTATAAGAGCCTCTTAATACTCGCTCGAAGTTAATCTTTGCACACTCCGTTATCTCCCCTTCATCCGGTATGCAAGGCGTCATGCATGACTGCATTATCCAGTTCGGAATGCGACTGAAAAATAAGAGAATCATAAATGAGCAGAATAACTGTGCAGTTACAACTTTAAAATATCAAAGAGACATTATTAAAACAATTAACAAACATCAATAATTTAATAAAAGTAAACAAATATTGAGAAAAGCTCTCTTAAATTTTAACAATAAATAGAAAGGTCATAGGCGATAAAGAGCATGTAAATAATTAGATAATCAAGATTAAAATAGAAAAATCATAATTTAATAAAGCAAATTAAGTACGATATAAATAGCTGAGAAATGTAATATGATTAAACATACAAAAATTGAAGATAAGAATATACATAAGGTACGAACGTTTCTGGCTCTCGCTTTGAGCCTTCTTCAGCGCAATAATAATAACCAACAGAAATTAATATAAAAACTAATAAATCATGAATATAATAAAGTATTGAGTAACATATAAATAATGATAAAATCGCAATCGGCGCAACGTTAATAGACGCTTATCGAAGTAATGGATCTTCATGATAAAAAATAGAAACCGTATTGTGCAAGTGTAATTGGTGGTGAACAGAAACTCGACAACAGTACCAAATGCAGCCTGAAATTGGCGTGATCCGGTATTTTAAACAATTCATATAATATACTGTGTGACAATATAAATACTTACAAAGAGACTGTTCAACGATAATACGATAGATGGAGAGAAACAATAAGGTTCAACATGAGAAACAGTTACTGTTAGAAATGCCGATGAGAAGGCTGGTATATATACCCGAACATGACATTCAAATTTTCGGTAGCTTGTTTATAATATCATGATATAAAGACGGTAAATTTTCTGTGTCTGTCTGTAAATTTAAATCATTCTTTTGTCTCTTGATGTAAAGCATTTCAGAAATTAATCTTCTATTGAAAAAAGAAGCTTCATCCAGAATTTTAACGTCGTCCCAACAAAAATCATGACCATATTGCAGCCTATGATTTGTAACGACAGAGCGAGTAGTATAGTTTCTATTGAGTTGTGATCTATGCTCCGATATTCTCGTCTTTAGCATTCTCGAAGTTTGGCCAATATATGAAGCGTCACAATCCGAACAATTAATTCTATAAACTACATTGGTTTTTTGGTTAGAGGGAATGTAGTCTTTATGTACTTTAATGAACTTGTTTAATTTATTTAGGCTGGTATAGGAAAGTTTGATGTCAAAGTTCTTTGTGACGCTTCTAAACCGCTCAGTGAAGTTTGGCAAGTATGGGACTGTGAAAAACGTAGAAGAATCTTTCAACGTCCCAAGATCACCGCGATCACGACTCATAAACAAAAATCTAAGTCGTTGGCTTATGACTTCAAATATGAAGCTCAAGGGATAGCAATTGTCTAAAAGGATTTTGACAATACGGTCAAGATTCTTATGGTGAAAACTTGGATGCGACAAAGAGAAAACCCTGTCCACGAGACCGATTATAGTGCCTTTCTTTTGGCAAAGTGGATGTTGGGAATGATAATTTAGATATCTGCCCGAAAATGTGGATTTTTGGAACCAGTCAAATATTAAAACGTTATTTTCAACTATTATGGTTACGTCTAAAAAATTAATTTTTCTGTCAACCTCTAATTCAAAAGTAAATTGTAATCTGTCATAAAAGGAGTTAAAAATAGAAAGAGTCGAGTCGATGGAGTCAGAAGGGACCGTCATTAGAATATCGTCAACGTATCTAAAATATAACCGGGGGGTGAATCTTAAAGTATTCAAAGCTTTCTCTTCTAAGTCCTGTAGCACTATGTCAGCAATAATCGGCGATAAGGGAGATCCCATAGGAGTACCGAAAGTTTGCTTATAAATAATGTTGTTAAAAGTAAAAAACGTAGAGTTTAAAACAAATCTGACTGCACTCAAGAACTCAGATTCAGGCAAATCACACACATCACGTATAAAACTCCATCTGCTAGAAACGCTAGAAAGAGCTAAATCCGTGGGAATGTTCGTAAACAGGGAAATCGCATCCAACGAGATCAATAAAGAGTCGTCATCCAAGTGAACATCGGCCAAATTCTGCACCAAATCGAAACTGTTATTTATATGACTAGAGGCAGTAGGAAAGTTCTTGATCATGATCTTGTGTAAAAATAAGGCAAGAGAATAAAGAGGGCTATTGATGGAAGAGACAATGAGTCTGAAAGGAATGTTGATCTTATGTATTTTAGGCAAACCATAAGCTCTAGGTAAGATGCCATCGGTAAATAGGAGAGATTTATAGGTAGTATTAGAGATGTAACCATGGTTTTTCCATCTGGATAGTAGCTCTTTCAGGTTGGAAATTAGTTTTTTAGTAGGATCTTTGTTGATTATTGTATAAGTGTTCTCATCCCTAAGTAAATCACCAACTTTGTTCAAATAGTCGAATTTATCAAGAGCCACCGTGACATTACCCTTATCAGCCCGTGTGAGGATGAGATCTTTGTTGTTCTGGAGAAAATTTTTAGCAGTCAGGTAAAGCCGTGTCAACCAATCATTATGTGAATTCCTAGGAAACGAATAAGACGGAATATTTTTAATGATGGATTTTAATTTTTCTCTGATGGGAATTCTAGATGCAGGAGAAAGCTTCCGGAGATTGCATTCAATGTGTTTGATAAATTCGATCGTTAGGATTGGTGTATTGATGTGAGGTAAGCTAAAATTCTCACCCAATTGCAAAAAACACTGGATTTCAGGAGGGAAGTTCACCATGGATAGATTGACAAACCATTTCTCATTGATCACATTCAGATTAGTAAATGAGTTAGAAAATGTGCCTCTAGTCATATAAATAACAGTTTCGATTTGGTGCAGAATTTGGCCGATGTTCACTTGGATGACGACTCTTTATTGATCTCGTTGGATGCGATTTCCCTGTTTACGAACATTCCCACGGATTTAGCTCTTTCTAGCGTTTCTAGCAGATGGAGTTTTATACGTGATGTGTGTGATTTGCCTGAATCTGAGTTCTTGAGTGCAGTCAGATTTGTTTTAAACTCTACGTTTTTTACTTTTAACAACATTATTTATAAGCAAACTTTCGGTACTCCTATGGGATCTCCCTTATCGCCGATTATTGCTGACATAGTGCTACAGGACTTAGAAGAGAAAGCTTTGAATACTTTAAGATTCACCCCCCGGTTATATTTTAGATACGTTGACGATATTCTAATGACGGTCCCTTCTGACTCCATCGACTCGACTCTTTCTATTTTTAACTCCTTTCATGACAGATTACAATTTACTTTTGAATTAGAGGTTGACAGAAAAATTAATTTTTTAGACGTAACCATAATAGTTGAAAATAACGTTTTAATATTTGACTGGTTCCAAAAATCCACATTTTCGGGCAGATATCTAAATTATCATTCCCAACATCCACTTTGCCAAAAGAAAGGCACTATAATCGGTCTCGTGGACAGGGTTTTCTCTTTGTCGCATCCAAGTTTTCACCATAAGAATCTTGACCGTATTGTCAAAATCCTTTTAGACAATTGCTATCCCTTGAGCTTCATATTTGAAGTCATAAGCCAACGACTTAGATTTTTGTTTATGAGTCGTGATCGCAGTGATCTTGGGACGTTGAAAGATTCTTCCACGTTTTTCACAGTCCCATACTTGCCAAACTTCACTGAGCGGTTTAGAAGCGTCACAAAGAACTTGGACATCAAACTTTCCTATACCAGCCTAAATAAATTAAACAAGTTCATTAAAGTACATAAAGACTACATTCCCTCTAACCAAAAAACCAATGTAGTTTATAGAATTAATTGTTCGGATTGTGACGCTTCATATATTGGCCAAACTTCGAGAATGCTAAAGACGAGAATATCGGAGCATAGATCACAACTTAATAGAAACTATACTACTCGCTCTGTCGTTACAAATCATAGGCTGCAATACGGTCATGATTTTTGTTGGGACGACATTAAAATTCTGGATGAAGCTCCTTTTTTCAATAGAAGATTAATTTCTGAAATGCTTTACATCAAGAGACAAAAGAATGGTTTAAATTTACAGACAGACACAGAAAATTTACCGTCTTTATATCATGATATTATAAACAAGCTACCGAAAATTTGAATGTCATGTTCGGGTATATATACCAGCCTTCTCATCGGCATTTCTAACAGTAACTGTTTCTCATGTTGAACCTTATTGTTTCTCTCCATCTATCGTATTATCGTTGAACAGTCTCTTTATATGTATTTATATTGTCACACAGTATATTATATGAATTGTTTAAAATACCGGATCACGCCAATTTCAGGCTGCATTTGGTACTGTTGTCGAGTTTCTGTTCACCACCAATTACACTTGCACAATAAGGTTTCTATTTTTTACCATGAAGATCCATTACTTCGATAAGCGTCTATTAACGTTGTGCCGATTGCGATTTTATCATTATTTATATGTTACTCAATACCTTATTATATTCATGATTTATTAGTTTTTATATTAATTTCTGTTGGTTATTATTATTGCGCTGAAGAAGGCTCAAAGCGAGAGCCAGAAACGTTCGTACCTTATGTATATTCTTATCTTTAATTTTTGTATGTTTAATCATATTACATTTCTCAGCTATTTATATCGTACTTAATTTGCTTTATTAAATTATGATTTTTCTATTTTAATCTTGATTATCTAATTATTTACATGCTCTCTATCGCCTATGACCTTTCTGTTTATTGTTTATAAAAGTATATAATTAATTTTCAAGAATAAGACAAAAAATTAATATTGCATTAAACAATAATTAAAACCATCTATATGAAAATACAATAAAATACTATTTATACATATATATATATATGTATATGTATATATATATATATATATATATATATTGTGACGTTGCCGTCCTGTAGCGCGTCCATCCGCCCCGAGATTTTTACGGGGCGCGGGCCGAGTGGCCACGTCAGAATCAACCTTGAGAGAGCGTTATTGAAAATCCCCGGAGAGACGAGCGCTATCGTTAATTTGCGAGCATTTATTAATTGTATCGATATTTTTTGTTTGTCATAACCGACAACGGGTACCTCGCCGGAGAAGATCCGGAGGACCGGAAAAGACATCGAGGAAGATTCAGCCAAGGAAAACCCGAGGCGAAACACCCGGCGATAGCCGACAGTGAAAAAACGATAAATGAGACCCGGGAAATAGATTCCCCGGACGTCGCTCCTCCTACGATCAAGAGGATGAGGGTCTGCTCACCCCTGATCCCTACGGGGAAGGATGACAGCAGGATCTTCATCGGACTCGTCATTAGGCCCGCAGTAACCTAATTCAAATTTAATCACAATTGCGCGCGAAGCGCTAAAGCGCCGCGGATCTCGCGAGGCACTAGGACCTCTTGCGTGCCGTGTCCTGATTGGCCGCGGGGCTGCGCACCCCACTAAGCGGTCATTGACGCCGCTATCGACCCAGTGATGGTAGGCCGGGTAATTTTTTGGCGCATGCGCCGCGAACGCGGCGTTAACGAAGTATGTAGTAGAAGTAAAAAATGTATCACTCGTCGCCCTTAAATAAATTTCTGAGGGAAAATTTTTAGAAAATTTTTACGAGCGACCAATAGCACACTTTCATTTCAATAATCACTTTTTCCACTGTACTTTAAAACATTATAACATTCACTCGGGACTCGGGACTTCTTTCTAGCATCACCGACCTCAGCTTGCCCGCCAAAACTTTGGCGCTCATAATCCGCTATCTGATACACCGTTGCTTTCCTGTGATTACTACTGCGCATGCGCGAAAAAACCCGGCCTACCATCACTGTATCGACCCCGGGTCGCGAGATCCCAGGATCACTCTGGTGCGGGCGCTCTTAGCAAAAAGTAAAGTAGTTGTTGTCTGGTTATCGTATTCAAGTCTGTCGTGTGTTTGTCACCACTACCGAGATATCCGAGAGGACGAGGCCGAGGCCGAGACCATCCCCAGCAGGAAGAGGTGTTATCGGTGAGATTGCCCATCTTTCCTTTCCTGAGCTACGCACGCGATTTAGTCCGCGGGCCGGTCGCTCTGCCGCCGTCGCCATTTTTCGTGTTTCGCGACCGCTCGAGCCGTTTGCTGAGACGTCGATATTTTGCGTATTTTCGGGCGACCGGAGGCAAGCAACCGAGGAAGAACCATCGTAACGTCGGCGTTAGATTGATAAGGCAACGTTCGTCTCTCTCCGGGTTTCGGGTGTTCCTTACGCGTAGCTATCGACCGCCGAATATCGACCGCGTGCGCGAAGGATCGCGAAAGCGAATACCGCCCGTGTTGTCGTACCGCTGTCGTTGCCGCGTAGAACATTCCGTAAAGTATCTCAGGGCGATTTTTGATGTCTGATTGCTTGTATGTCGTCGTCCATTGTTAAGAGTGCGTTTATAGTATTTTATTGTAGTGTGAGCGTGAACGTATTTGTGTCATTGTCGCGCTTATTGTCGCCGAATAGAGCGTAATAAAGGCTAATAGAACATTTGCGTCTTCGTCGCGTCTATTACGCTGTCGAATAGCGCGTAATAAACGAGAATTTGTATCTGTCGAATTGGTCGCGGTGCGAAATCGTCGCTAAAGTATCGAGGGTGAAATCTGGGCTGCTTGCGCGGAAGAAAGAGGCGAAACGTCGGCGGAGAAAAATCTCCGACCGCCATCGGCTATCGAAATTCGAGAATATCGTTCGCCTGTCGCATACGTGATCCGTTTTCGCAAAAGTATTAAGTATTTTCGATCTATGGTTATCTATGCTGTCGAATTAGTAAGCTGTCGTTTTGTTTTGCGAGCTAGGAAATTGCGAGGAAAAGTCCGTAGCGATAAGTTGTCGATCTGGCTGCCGAAATTACGATATCGTTTGAGTATTATCCGCGAATATTTCCATGCCGAAAACCCTTGGTATTCCGTAAAGTCTCGCTCAGTCCTGCGAACTCCGGCCATAAAAACGGGTAAACAACCGGATTGTCTTAGCGCTCTCGTTTTCGGTGTCGATTTCGAGCAGATATTTGCTCAGAATACCGTCGTATTATTCGTGCCAGGATTAATTGTATTGTATATTTCGCTTTCGTATTTCGTTAGAATTGATTGTGAACCGTCGTTTCAACTTGATTTGTATGATTCGTTCTCGTTTCTAGGGGAATTAATAGCGAACCAATATCTCTGTAAGGAATTATTAATCTCAGTTGAATTATCGCTTCTTATTGATTGCTGAGTTATTGTTCAAAATTGATCCATTTCTTATTATTGATTTATTATTATTCACTCGTATTGTTACTGTATAGTGTTTATTTTTCTAGTAATAAACTTGTTATCTTTCTTTGTTCAAATCGCGTAATTTATTTAAGTGTTCGTCTCGCTTGGTTGTCGATTGTCGTTTTGTCTGTCGTCTGTTGGTTCCGTGAAGACTCGTATAATCAATTGACTTTCTCTAACAACCCCTCCCCTCCACCGTTAAGCGAGCTAGTCGGCCCGTGGCGAAGCAGGCTATCGTTTTTAGCGTCTTTTGGCTTTTCGCGAACACTGATGCGTGAAAGACCGCATCTGGCGCCCAATTTATCGATATATCGAGACGGCCTCCGCTCCGCCGCGGTTCGCGCGAGAATGTCCTCCCTGTTCCGCCGAGCGCGAGTATATTAATTTCGTTATTTTGTTGACGGCGTTTTCGCTCCCCCGCGCACGCTCCCATCCAACATCTCGAGGAGTGTCGCGAATTATTTGAATTGAATTGAATAAAC